TGGAAGCCATCTTGGGCTCTCAGAGGCGCTCTTGGAGCCGTGTTGGGCCATCTTGGATGCTCCAACCCCTGAAGCCCCTCCCCGAAGTGGAAGAAGGGGGTTGGAAGAAGAAACGCCCTAGACCACCTACGCCCAGAGGGCTGGTGGGATTCCACCGACGGCCCCAGTGGCAGGGCCCGCATGCGCCCCCCAGTCCCATTTCGCACATCCTTCACTGAAGGCGATATTCACGTGAGCGGCATTCAACTGCAAAGGCTGGGCCCTCCGCCAGGATAATTCAGGTGCTTTGTCGCACCTTTCTTTTGTCCTTGCACCGTGTCTGATTTCGCCCGCTACCTCTCTACACATTGTCGTCTTTCTATTCTTACTTTCAGACTGGTACCAATGGACAGACCGAGAGGTGTTTCGAACTAAGACGTGTAGCAGACACCAGCGGGAACCGCTGCACATCGCACCGTGCGATGTGCACCGACACATAGGCCGTTGACCAACCTGCCGCGGCGGACAATATTCGTTGCCCCCCTTGTTTTTATCGCCACGCGTTTGTGCGGCATCGCCTTGTTTAGCGGAGTGGTGGGCAGAGTACCGCGATGGTAGCGAAAATGTGCCGAGCTGTGTTTGGACAGTGCCTCCCGCAGGTAGACCCGCCAACATGGCGCTACAAACTCAGTTGACAACATCATTTAACAACATAACGTAACCGCCACCGAGAGTTCCATGGATGCCAACATCACGGAGCGCACCACGACGATTACTACCATTCATGATGTGGTTTTGCACTCACGTTTTCTCCAGACCAAAGCGACGCTCCCTGCCTTGCTTTCCTATTTTCCACCCCCGTTTCGTACAGGCCTTTGTGCGTTTTTGCATTTGTATAGCTCGTTGGCCCCGTATTGTAATGGCCTCCGGCCAATGCCGCCGATCCGGGGGGCTTTGGATTCGGTGATCTTGGAGTCGTCGGGGGCGCTGTTTGGGAGGGAGGGCGCTCTTGGGGTCGTCGGGGAGGCTTTCTGGAGCTGACGTGCCCTCTGGGGGGGGCCTGGAGCGGTCCAGGGGGGGGGTCCGGGGAGGGTTCCGAGTGGAGGGTCCTGGGGGCGGTAGCGGCTAGATCTGAGGGGCCCCTGGGACCCCCCGATACATCTGGTGGATGCGCAAATCATTAAGAAAACGCCAGATGTGGGACCGCCCCTCCCCCCCCTACCCCCCTTCCCCGGGGGGGGTCGGGCCCCTTCCCCGGGGGGGGTCCGGGCAGGGTTCCGAGGGGGGGGGTCCCTGGTACCCCCTGAAACATCTTGGGGATGCGCAAATCATTGAGACAGATGGAGGGCCGCCCCCCCCCCCCCCCTCCCCCCCTTCCCCGGCACAGCCACCCGGCGACCCTCCCCAAGCAGAGCTGAAGCTCTTGCTTAGGCTCAGAGCTGAAGCTCTTGCTGAGGCTCCTTCTAGTTCATACGCCGGATCGGCGGATTTTCTACCTTTCACGCGTTCCGACCACCCCGAAGCGGCCTTTGTAACGCCCCCAGCGGGCGCGGCACCCTCCGCAAATCACGCATACGATGAGCAACGGATCCGCCGTCTTGCCACGTACGCAGGCAGCGGCCATGCACAGATTCCACTCGAGCGACCCACAAGGAACACTACGAGTGGCGGGAGCGAGCGGGAATCCAACGTGTCCCTGGCGGGGAGGAGACGCCAATTATCAGGAGGGGAAAAAACACACAGACACAATGAATCGTCCACTCCCAGGAAAATATTGGAAAATATGGGAAGCGGGCGGGAAGACAAAAACCCAGAACATATGGGAAAATATGGGGAATCTTTTTATTTGTGTGTATTTATTTAATCGCTTCGCTCATGCCGCCGGCCCTGGAGCCCTCTTTAGGGCCTCTTGGGGGCCTCTTGGGGACCTCTTGGGAGTCTCTTGGGGCTCCTTGGCGGCGTTTTGGAGGCCCCCAGGGCCTCTTGGGGGGCTCTTGGGGGTAGTCGATTGCGGAGTGTCCTGGGGCCCCTTCCAATTAGAAGCGCTGACGTGCGCCCTGCGGTCCGGCTGTCGGCCCTGCGCACTGAGCGCGCCGCCCAGGCGCAGCGTGCGAGCACGGTGGCGGGCAGACCCGGCGGAGCGGACCTCGGAAGCCGCGCGGCAGCCGCGGCAGGGCGGCAGAGGCGCAGGGAGGGGGGCCAGGAGGAGGACGAGGAGGAGGAGGACGAGGAGGAGGAGGAGGAGGAGGACGAGGAGGAGGGAGGAGGGAGGAGGAGGAGGAGGAGGAGGACGAGGAGGAGGGAGGAGGGAGAAGGAGGAGGAGGAGGAGGAGGAGGAGGAGGAGGAGGAGGAGGGCAACAGGCAGGGCAGGCACCTTCCCCCGGCACGCCAGGGTCGGTGCCCAGGCGGTGGCGTCCGAGCTGCACCCCCGCGCAGCCCCTCCAGGACAGCCCGAGGGCACACGTGTCGGGGGTGGACAGAGCCCCCAAACAGTGACACGTCGATTGGTGAATTGTCCGTTTTCGGTCCTCGAGAGGGCGCCGTGGCCGTTATTTTCCAGGCTTGCGCCCGCCAGGTTTGGGCCTCAGGTCGTTTTCACTAAACCACGTTTTACTAAAGGGGGGTCTGTCCATCCCCGACACGGGGGGGGGAGCAGGCAAGGTGCCAACGGCAGTCGCCCCCAAACTCTGGGCGCACGGCTTGCCACAGGACCCCTGCTCTGCGCGCCTGCGCGCGTCGCCCAGGCGCAGCTTGCGCGCACAGGGCGGCGGGTGGAATTGAGGGCAGAGCTGGGCAGCAGCACGGCAGAAGGCGAGCTGGCGGGTTGGGGCGCAGCAGTTGGTGAAGAAACGCGCGCCGTTCGGGGCACCTGGGTGCTCTAGGGGCGCCTGGCAGCTTGGGATGCGGTCTTGGGGGTCTCTCTCGTCCGTCTTGGGGTCCTCTCGCAGTTTTTTCTTCCCTTCTTTGCAGGCCAAAACAGCAGGTTCTCAGAGCCTGGCTTGACATCTTCTGGCAATTTTGGTGTGTACGAGGGAGTCCCAGAACACAGCCAGACACAGTGTACCTTTGCATTCAAGAGGTACGCGTGTTTTTTTCGCACGGTCGGAAACAGAAGCGTCGTTCGAGACAGCGTCGGCCTGCCCCGTGTGGCTGGTTGCGGCAGGTCCTGAAAAGGATAGCCAACCACACGCCGAAACGCTGGAGACGGACTGGACCAGGGGTGCCCGAAAGAGTGGGCATACTCAGTCCTAGACCAGAAAGGAAACCAAGGGAAGTTGCGCAGTCAACTGCTTCTCGACGACCCTGGCGCGGCATAGCCGTTGCCAGGCGAGCCTGACGCGGGTGTACAAAACATGCCTCGTACGTTGCGCTAATATGGATATGTTTGGCAAATGACTGGCTATCAGCCGAAAGTCTCTCCAAGAACTCGTATTCGGTGGTGCGGCCTTCTTCCCAACAGTCAGAGAAGTAGCAGTGGTGGCCTTACCAAAAAAGGATCTTCGCAGGTGCGCTCTGATTATCCACGAGCGCCTAACGCAGGGGTCGGGTGGCTCACACCCCTGGGCCGTGATTAGTGCCCGCCGCTCAAGGAAAAGGGGGCACTCGCCCGGCTTAGCTGCGGTTGCCAGCGGTGTCGTGCAGGAAGGGGGCAGTTGTTTCCTCCCTTCTTTGAAGGCCATAGCAGCAGTCAGAGCCTGGCTTGACATTTTCTGGCAATTTCGGTGTGTACGAGGGAGTCCCAGAACACAGCCAGACACAGTGTACCTTTGCATTCAAGAGGGACGCGTGGTGTTTTCGCACAGTCGGAAACAGAAGCGTCGTTCGTGACAGCGTCGGCCTGCCTCGTGTGGTTGGTTGTGGCAGGTCCTGAAGAGGATAGCCAACCACACGCCGAAACGCTGGAGACGGACTGGACCAGGGGTGCCCGAAAGAGTGGGCATATTCAGTCCCAGACCAGAAAGAGGACCAAAGGAAGTTGCGCAGTCAACTGCTTCTCGACGACCCTGGCGCGGCATAGCCGTTGCCAGGCGAGCTTGAGGCGGGTGTACAAAGCATGCCTTGTACGTTGCACTAATATGGATATGCTTGGCAAGTGACTCTTGCGGCCCTAGAGGGTCGTATTGGGGCTTATAGCGCGCCGGAATCAGCTGGGAGGCGTGCCGTACATACTTAACAAAGAATTTCCTAATTATTTCCCAAATAACTTCCCCAGACATGTTCTGGACACTCCCCGGAAATACTTTGGGAAATATGTTCGTGGGCAGGACATTTTCCATACATTCTCCAGAAATCCTTTGGCAATACTTGCCAGGGGCCGGAGATGTGTTGGACATTCTCCGGGGGGCAGAATTGTTCCGGAAATTCTCAATAGTAAATTCGGTGGACATGTTTTTGACATGTGTCGGACATATGTTTGGAATATGTTGCACATGTTTTTCCATATGCGCATTGGAAATACTTTCCACTTTCCGGGGGCCAGAACTTCTTTTCGGAAATTCCCCGGACAATGGTTTGACGTATTTTGCGAATGGTTTTGGGAAGGTGTCGGAAAGTGTTCTAACTGTTTCAGAGGATCTTGGCTTATCTGATTCCTTGAGCGTTACAGATTGGAGCTATCCTTTTCTCTCTCTCTCTCTCTTGTGCCCTTTTGGGCTATCTTGGGAATCTGGGAAGCTCTCGTTGAGTTTTTTGTGCCGTCCTGACGTCATCTTGGGCGGTCTTTGTGGCATCGGCGGCCCCTTGGTACAGTATGTGGGCCTTGTGGGCGCTCTGCGTATCATCTTGGGCCATTCAGGAGCGGTTTGGGGCCCCAGCAAATTTGGGAAGCAGTCAGATTGGGCCACCCTCCCTGGAGTCCGCAATTGTCGGTCCAGAGGAAGCAGTATACTTAGGGGGGGAGAATCTCACACGCCTTCGGGGAACCCAAAAGGGTCGACGCTCCGGGGGACCCCTTTCAGATCGATTGGTGTAAAATTGCGCACGGAGAGGATATCCCGCGTTTTGTTCGTGCACTTCGCACATGCGCAGCGCCCGCGGTAGGTGTTTTCATCGCTCCGTGGGAGGGTCTTGGACCAATGGCGGCGCCGCTGTGTCCATGGGCAACTTGTCGGCCTCGCTGGGGCCGAACCCGGGCTGGTCGTCATCGTCTTCCTCCTCCGTGCCGCGTGAGGTCGCCGTCGTCGTTATCTTCGTCCTCTTTCGGTCCCCCCCCCCTCTGCTCCTCTCCATCTCATGAATTATCCTCATTCCCATCATCCTTGCTCTTTCCCCCTCACCTTGTCTCCACCTCCTCATCTCCCCCCCCCCATTCCTGTAATGTGATCTTCCATGGGACTGTAGATGCAGTGCGGAGTTGAAGGTTTTCTTGCTGCTTTGGGTGCGTAGTTTCCTGCCCAAGCCCAGCATGGGCCAGAAAGGGCTCTGGGTGATCAGTGCCGCGTTGGTGCACATCGGGGGCAACCGATCGCAGGTTGTTAAATAGTTGGTTAGTTGGTTGCATCGAAAAAGCACCTGAGGTCAAAATCGGCCAAGCCAGTCATATAGGAGAGAGAGGGAGAGAGTGTGATGAACAACTGACGTTTATTTTCTCATAGCCCAAAGCATTGCCGTAACGTGCAGACCCATGCGGCAGACAGCCAACACCATTTCTGAACGTGGGTGAGTTTGGCGATGAACCGACAGACAGATCCATCCCGAAGTCACTGTGATTGTCGGCTGCTGGGACCGCCAGGCCGCATTCAGATGATATAAACGGTTTCGATGTTGGCGGAAACCAGCGAGTGAAGCACACGACGACATGACATGTCGAATGTTCGGCCACTCCTTTTCCCCGCGCAAAGGACAGCAGCTCAGTAGCAGCACGGCCCTCGTCCCTGCGGGTACAATAGGAAGCAGCTCCACACATGAAGATGTGAAATTCGGAATACTCGTCTTGCGACAAGTCCTCTCGGTGCTGCTGCCAGGGTGCCTGAGAAAAGGCCTCCACACCGACCTCGCGCATGGTCGGCCAATGGTTTCGAGAAGAACTTGCTAAGCCCAGGGCACGAACACGACACACGACTCGTAACACGGCTCAAGTCGAGCTCCTTCCTCACTCTCAGAGGGCTCGCGCTGTCCAGAGGCGCGCCAGACTCGTGGGTCAGCCTTCTCGGTGTGCACTCGAAAACGCACCCCGCGTACAGCATCTGATTCCAGAAAGTGTAACCCGAGCGCGTCGAACAGCATCTTGAAGTTGAGGTTTAGGCGAGGGGGCCATTCCAGATCACATTTGCCTTTTATTGCTTGCGCCAGTGATGGTGGCAGAGCATACAGGGTGCACGTGCCAGTCAATACGCCAAAATCTGCGACGGCACCACACACTGCGCGCACGTGCATTCATGATCATGGCCGGGATCGTCTTGGGCGGCAGAGCGAAGACAAAACACCAGAGCCAGAGAGGTTTGGCGTATGTTCCAATACCTCGTGTTCTTGTTGCTGCTTGGCCTGGGCGTGCGACGGCCTCCAGTGTCGGGCACAGCAAGGACTCCGATGTGCTCGATTGGGATTGCATGGCATCTCCCCGATTCCTGGGTCCCTCACCTCATCGAAGATGCTGGTGGCCATCGTGTTCGACTGCTGCTCGGCCAGGGACTTTGCCACCGCACTGCGGTCGTCTGGTCGTCCATTCCAAACAAATCTCGTGGATCTCTCTCGGACTCAGAACTTCGCATACCGCCTTCGGGGCACATGAGTCTCCGCGGGCCAACGAGCTCCTTGGCTAAATCATCTCAGTTTCCCCCTTGCCTGCTACTTGACATTGACGGGGCCCTTTCCATGCAGCATGGGAGGTAGCTCTAACGAACTTGGTAACATTGGCGCACTTGAGAGCCTGGAGGCCCACCTCGTACATAGCCAGGTCACAGCATTGTGAAAGATCTCTCTCGGTGCCGCACAGAGGCTCTGCGCATACCGCAGACCATCGATTTGTTGTCGCTTCGCGTATCCCCACCAAACACCGGCCCCCCCCCGGGCAGCGGTGTGGATCGTGGAGTGAGTGCTCTGCAGGTCCCTTCCGTTCCTCTGCCCCTGCATCCGCCGACCCCGCGTACGGCGGTGGTACGGACTTCGCGCTGAGTGGTTCAGCCTTCAGCGTTGTAGTTTCGGTTCTCCCTGCCCGCTTTCGGCTAGGGGAGCTGCTCGGAGCTTGGCGCCGACAGGGCGACTTTCTCCGTTGCACCCGCACTGCTGTCTGCTTCACTTCGGTGTGGCCGGCGCCTATGTGCGTTTGCCTTAATGCGGAGCATGTTGCTCAGTGCATGTGCACTCCACGCATCGCGTGTAATGAGCCTCGCCTGTGGCCCAGACGACGCTTTCCGCTCCCTGTCCGTTACTTCGGAGCCGCTGACCAAAAAGTATCCCCACCAACGTTTCTTTTCTCCTCTCTCTCTTTCGTGTGCAATTTACGTTCCTGCTTGTTACCTGTAGCTTTGGGCGGCGCGCGGCCCTTTCCGCTTGCGCTCATGAACAAACAGTACCCCCACCAACCCATGCAGGATCGATGCCCAGGGGAATTCAGGTGATCGGGGAAGCGGGGGACCATGCAGAAAAGCAACTGGCGGGGGAAGCAGTCATATACCCCAACAGAAGGAGGATGGAGGAAGAGGAAGAGGACTGCGAACATACGAGCCAGCAACTTCTTGAAGGCCTCTCGAAGTCTTTGGATGTGCCTTGGAAGCTGTTTGGGGGCCTCTTAGAGCGTCTTGGGGGCATCTTGGCGAGCCAAAGGTCGTTTTGAGGGTCTTGGGTGGGTCCTCTTGAAGCCTGTTGGGGGTCTCTTGCGGTCCTCCTGGGGGCCGCTTGGGGCCGTCTGGGTGCCCTTCGAACGCTTTTGGGAGCTTTAGCTCTGGGGCCAGTTTGGAGGACATCGATCAAAACAAATGGGGAGCTTGAATTAGGTTCTCCCTTCGGGAACCCAACACATCGCCTCTAGGGGCGCTCTTGGGGTGGTTTCGGGGCGCTCTAGGAAACCGCAAGGGAGTCTCAGGCGGGAACGCCCTTCCCATGGGGTCTGCGTCTGACGTTGGTAATCCGAGCAGGTCGCTGGGACCCCGTCATTGTCGTCACGTTTCGGCTCCTCTGGAATGGATATAGGGGAATTCTCAGGCGGGGGCTTCGTCTGTGAGTGACTTGAGGAAGTCTCAGGCGGGACCATCCGCCCAAGGGGTCCGCATTTCATGTTGGGAATCCGAGCCGGTCATCTGCAACCTCTGCGAGGCATAGTGTTTGAGCACCCCAAAAAGGCACATCATGAGGCGCCCATCGCGCGTCCGTGAGTGAGTTGCAAGGAAGTCTCAGGCGGGAACCTCCTCCCTGGTCACGAGTCGCTCGAGGAGTTCGACACGAGAACGGTGGACCCCAGAGCTGAGGCAGAACAGTTCGCTGGAGAGCTGAACGTCGTGCTGCCTCCCGCTTGAGCGCGGCCGCGACTAATTCGGTGTTTGCGGGGTTGTCCCACCGGCTTGCTCCCACGACCCAGCTGTTCGCGGGTTTGTTCCAACGGCCATTGCCCCGACGGCTTCGCGTTTTTAGCATGGGAGAACGGGCCCCTGCCGGGCGCGGCGGCGAGGGCGCCGAAGAAAATCTGCATGCGCCCCCCTGCCAGGAGGAAAGAGAGGTGCATGAGGAGAGCAGGCGGGGTGGAGAGGAGGGGGGGGGAGAAGGCGGAGGTGGAGGAGGAGGAGGAGGAGGAGGAAACTCAGGAAACGGACATAGAGGAAAAGGCGGACATTAACAAGGAGGGCGAGTAGGAGGAGGAAGCGGAGGACGAAGGGGACAAGGAGGACGAGGAGGATGAGGCGCCATAGAGGGCGGGACGAGGGGTTGTCGCCAGGGCGAAAAGGAAAAACGACGGGCTGTCTAAATATATTATCTTGCAGGGTCCCACCGTCGGAATAGTTCGATCTTCCTGTGTTTCATTGGGTGTGTCGGTCCCGCACAGACGCTAGCCACATCCTTCATCAAGCATGTCGTCGCCGCTGTGGCGCTGGCCACGCTTCTGAGTGGAAATGCTGCTGTCGACAAGGCCCCCTCTAGGGGCGTCCTCCACCTCGCTCACATCTTCTGTACGCACCTGGCACCGCGTTTCCTGGCCTCCCGGGGAACCCCCCCAATGCCCAAAGACAGCGCAAGACAACCCCAAAAAGCTTCCAAAACGTAGAAGAATTGCCCAAGACGCTCCCAAGCTTCCCAGGATAGCTTTCGGGCGGATCCCCAGGCTCCCAGGAGACCTCCAAGAAACTTCAAGAGTGCTTCGAGAGGCCTCCCGAGAGCGCCCGCATAACCTAGAATCGTTGGTTCTCTGGTTTTTGTTTCAGGTGTCTTGGCCTTCTCGCCGCTCCATGCATCCAACGCTCCAAGACGGCCGAAGAGGACCCCAAGATCGCCCAAGAGGCCCCCAAGACGGCCCCAAGACGGTCCCAATACTGCCAAAGAGGCGCCCCGGACAGCTCCAGACCACCCCAGAACAGGCCCAAGATGAGCCCAAGAGCGGGAGCAGGAAGCCTCCAGAGACTTCTGAGAGGACTCCGGGACCCCCGAAAGGCCTCCAACACACCCCAGACTTTTGAGAGGCTTCAGAAAAATCCCCGACGAGGCCCCCAATACAGCACAATAGAGCTTCGAGAGCCGTCCCGAGAGAAGAGGGTAATTAAAATCCTTGCTTTCCAATGGTTTTTGTCTACGGTTTTCGCCTTCTCACGATTTCCCGCTTCCAACGCTCCAAGACCGAGGAATTTGAAAAAAAGGGAATTCCAGAGATCCCCTGTTTTTTCAAGTTGGGAGGGACTCCTACTCCCTATCCTCTCCATCGAGCCCCATCAAGACTTCGGGGTCATATGCAAAAATGTGTTGGGAATGCTGTTGAACTCTCTAACGCTGTCTTGGCGCTCTCTTGGATCGTCTTCGTGTCCTCTTGGCTGCCCCTGAAACAATAGTAGGAATCGAGATCCCATAATCCCATGAGTTGAAGCAGTGGAATTTTAGAATTCCTCTTTCACCAAACTCACCCCCTGCTTATTTTTGCACGAAGACCCCGAGAGGTATCCCAACAGACCGTGGCCTGCATGCAGAAAC